ATATATATATATATACATATATATAATATATATGCAAATGTAACGCGTGAAAGTATGTATGTGTGATCGTGTTGAATGTCGCCGCATCGAATTGCCGTATCGATTTAAGTGTATTCGATGTCATCATTTCGCATCTGAGGAATGATAAAGAAGAAGGAAATGGAAAACGAGGAGAAAGAGGAGGAGCAAGAGTCAATGTTCATGTGCCGAGTAGAGGAAAGAAGACGCAGGCCCAGATGAGAAGGCACCCGATCAGGAATAGCAGCAGCTTCGTGCGAAAGCTGTCCCAGCTGACCAAGATCATCCTCGGTGGCATGCGTCTTTCCGTCGTCGCGGAGAACTGAAAAATACGCACAATCGTTACTCGCTCATTCGATAAAAACCGCATACGAAAGTGGAATCACATTGTCCACTTGCTCCTCTTCGTTCTCGTCGTCGTCGTCATCATCGTTATTGTCGTCGTTGTCCCGCAATCTCCATACGCTTGGATGCTGTCGCATCGGATCCGTCTCTCGATCTCGTGTGTTCGTCGACGACGTTATTGTTATCGTCAACGGCGGTAGCGACTGCACTTGCGGTTGTGGTTGCAATTGTAATTGTAATTGCGATTGCGACTGTTGCTGTGGTTGTGGTTGCGACTGCGATTGTGACTGCAATTGTAACTGCAGTTGCGATTGCGACTGAGACTGAGGCTGCTGGCTTCTGGTTGTCTCAGATCGTTTGTTCCCAACAACGATAATGTTGTCGTCTACCGCGGATCGCGATTCGCTGAGCCCGTTGCTGTGTGATTGTCTCGCGAGATACATGCTCGATCATGCGTGCGCAGTCATATTTTTTTACCAACGACAATTTCATCGCGATACTGTGTAGAGAAGAAGGGGACTTGTTTGATTCGAGAGCAGAGAAGAAAAGAGAAAAATAACGAAGAATTCTGTAACCATACAACGCGAAGCATCTATATAATCTCTCGTAGCCCATGATATCTTTTAGTGATTTAATTTACCCTTTTCTCCTCTACATTATGTGTCGTTTTGAGATCCTTGCCTATTATAATCCCGGCCAAAAAACGTGGAGTCATTAAGCTGCTTTGATCAAAACATTCGTTTATTTATTTGTCTGATTAGCGTAAGTGTCATAAAAAGAGAAGGCGAACGAATTTTTTGATCTATAACGATTTGTAGATTTACTAAGGTCCGCGCAATTTTTAAAAATCTTTCTTAAGAATCGCGTCTCTCTCAGTATTATTTACAACTCTGTGTAAAAAGAAGATTTGCCGTACTTTTTAATTTTTTAACAACCAGACTCAGCGCGCAATCTGCTCGAGTATGATAATAAAAGGATCGAATAATCTAATAATGTACTGTGTAATGCCGTATTTTATTCGAATATTTACAGGAGCCAAATATTTATAAAACAGTACGAAATATACAATATTACAATCCGATTTATGGAAGCCTTTAGCTGCCGGGAGGACGTCTCCTTGAGCGTTCGGTCGTTCCTTCCGAATTTCTCCAAAGATTTGTTCACATTTCGTTTTGATGAGCAATCGTCACAACGCAAAACATGATTTGTAATACAAACGTTGTAAAATTAGGGATGCAGAATAGAGATGGTACATTCTTCAATTGGTCCCAATAGCAGTAAACCACTTAGAACTGCGAAACACGCTGCATGGATTGCCAATCCTGATATCAATCGTGGATTATCACAAAATCACGAAGAAGTTGCAGAATTCAACATCGAATATAAATCACAAAGTCACAACCCAGTAAACGTCAGTAACATCAATGTTACAACTTCACATTCAACAATGTAATTACTGTGTAACATGTTATATTACATTTTATTGTTGAGTGTGAAATTATATATATATCATTCATTACTGTTAGTTACAGTTTTATTGAAGTATTCTCAAAGAGAAAAATTGAAAATTAAACCAGTCTAGAAAGAGTGATCCAAATTTTATTCTTTAAAAGTGAAGTTTGTTCAAAAAGTTTTAGAGAGTAACTAAATATTTAGATACTTCAGCAAAATCGTTCTTATTATGTGGTTTACTTGGGAAAAGTCACAGAACCCGCAAACTAGCGATTATAATTGAGAACACGAAGTCACGTAGATCAGATCACAAATCGCGATCTCAATACCAACGAGATCGCTATCAAGCTCTGATATCACCCATAAATCACGAGGCCGCAGAATTCATCGCCGATTTGCAATCGCGAGAACACAGCAGGATTTCTAAAGCGAGGGTGATCCCGATCACAAGATTCGATACTGGTCCAGCAGGGTGTAGATGATGATCCAGAGGAGGAACGCCACGATCACGGAGATCAGGAAGATGGTTTTGAGCGAGTGCCATGGACTCTCGGTGTGCGGCTCGCTGCCTCCGACTCGGCTGTTCCTCCAGACTTTGCAGCCGCCGTTCTTGCAGGGCATCGCGTCACTGCCACTGGGGTGCGTCGTCGATGGCATCGACGTCGCGACGTTGCTGCTCGGCGCGGTTACCTTCACCTCGCCCATCTCTGTGATTTCACCGGCACCGTGCCGATGCACCTCCGCTGTCTTCGCCAGCTCAAATCTTGACGGCGAATCCATCTGGAATTCAAAAGGTAAATGTCATGTCATTTTCTTTATTGTAGATAATGCGGTTTAATATAAAGAAAAAAATTAAAATAATTAATTATAATCTGAAGCTTTCGAACATAAAGAAACAATAATAATTATTATCTTTTCTTATTTTATTTTTTCAGATAATAATTATTATTGTTTCTTTACGCTCGAAAGCTTCAGAAATGTTCCCAGTCAGAAATAATTCGTCGAATTAATATCGAATCGACATCAATAATTCCGACTGGAGCTAATGACTTGCTTCGAAGGCTTTGAACTTGAAGATTCGAAGCTTCGACATTTCAAAATCTTTGATACTTCAAACTTCGAACTGTTTTTATCGTCGTAATTACGCCGTTAAATTAAAAAATATGTACGTAAGATCACGTTATAATCACATTCATCAATTTTAGGATTTTTTTCGTTCTCGATTTTTCGTTCTTAAAATGATTGTTTTATGTTAAGAAAGACTTACAATCAATAAAGTCAAAACGTTCATATTAATTTACTATTTTTTATTCATTCATTTGAAAATAAATTTACTTTTTAAATTTTCTTAATTGGATTGTTTTATTGAGCATTATCTTTCCTTATTTATATAAATTAATATAAAAAAATACTTCCAAACTTCCTTATTTAAGAACATTACATTTTTTTCAATATATGCATATATTAATTAATTCTTTTCATTTACAATATTTTTAGCATTTCTTAAATGAATTCATCATTCACACGTATTTTTTGGAGCTCCGAAAAAATTCGAATCTTCGAAATAAGTCAACAGTCTTAATTTCGACATTAATTCGACATCTAATCGATAGTCATTTTTCATTGAAGTTTTATCTATTACAATTTTCAGAAACTTCTCAAAAATGCGATGTAAAGTGTGACATAACATTTTTTTGAATCTTTTAAACTCTTGATCTCTTAAACTCAAAACTTAAAATCAAAAAATTAAAATAATTTCTTCGAATATTTTATTTAGAAAAATTTTTTTTCGTTAAATTGGAGCGTGTTTTTGTTGTATAATTTTCTCAAAAAACTTCCTGTCATCAAAGATGTACACTGAACTTATTTTGATAAATAACAAATGAGAAACGCAAAAAGTTTCTTATTCGTCATTTTAACGAAATGTTTCACGTGAAATGTGCAGGAGAATAAAAATAATATTATTCGTAAACATATTATATTACGATATCGCTGTTTGAACAGAAAAAAGTGTAGCAAAAACATTGCGGTATTTTAACATTTATTACCGGATAAAAATTATCTCTTTCTGTCAGCGGTTTTAAACATCCTGCAAATCACCCGGTTGACATGACCATTTCATATTTCCGGATTCAAACTTGACCTAACACGTTATGGAAAAATAAAACTAGAGTGCAATAAAAATTAGACTCCAATTAGATCTAATTAAATTCCTATTAAATTCTAAATACTGTTAGAGGTTTTCCTAATCTTTTTGTCTTCTTTTTGTCTTTAATATAATTATTTTAAAACTAATCTTTTAAAATAATTATATTAAAAGATAAAATATAATATACCCTCCCCCCTACACAGTAAAAAATATTTTGTATTTGTGTTAGAAACGGTTCACATTCTTATTTTGTGTTGAATTTTTAATATATTCGAGTTTTAATTTAACATAATATGATTGTGTTATTTGAATATTTTATATTAAATTAAAATTTAACATTTCTCAGTAAAATAACCCAATTTATAGATAAACAAATAACATAAAAATAATGTAGTTTTAAAACATAAATTCCAAGAATAAATGAAATATGTGTGTTGAGTTAATATATTATAAATTTTAATTTTATTGAAGAATACGTTCTGTACAACTGTAATAATTACATATTTTTATATAAAAAGGTACAAATATTTTGTGTTATTTTCTCGTTTGTAACAGTAAATATGTGTCTGTTAAATCTATATATTGCATATGTTAAATATCACAGAGGCATTGTCCAAACTAAAAATGTAAAAATAGTATATAATTTTAGTTAAATTTAATGTTATAATATATCAATTTAACATAAAATTTTTTAAATTGTATCAAAGTATTACGCTTCTTGAATTAATTTTTTACATAATATTACTTTTTAACATCTTCATCTTATATTAAATTAAACAAACAAAAATTAGTGATTTGAGATGTGAAATGTGTTAAATTAAAATTTTTTTTTCTGTACATGAATATTTGTTATTTAAATTTATTTGAAATATGTATTTTTCAAATTACAATAAGCTTTAATTGACTTTTCATTTTTTATTGTTGTTTGAAAATTTGTGTTAAATTTAACATATTGTAGAAATCTTTAAGGCCTGTTTTCATTTTTATTTAGTTACCTAAAGATTAAAGGTTATCAATAGATTCATCAATGAAATTCATTCATGAGTGTCTTTGTTACTTTTAATCTTTAAGGTTACCATATATTGTGAAATCGAGCTTAACAGCGTTTAGAATCCCAAATAGTTTACCTAAATTTTTGTGCAATAGAATGTATTAGACAGTGACAAAAATTATGCAAAAAATTAACAAGAAATATAACAATGAGACACAATTTGTAAGCAAATTGTGGAAGTATAATTTTTCAATAAAATTAGTATTTATAATATGTTAAATTAACACATTTTATTCATTTATCTTAGAATTTACATTTTAAAGTATTTACATAATTTTGTTATTTGTTCACTTATTTATAAATTATGTTATTTTAACACTATGAAAGAAATGTTGAATATTAATTTGACACATATTCAAATAACACGATCACATTATATTCATTAAAAATTTAACACAAAAGTTTTAACAAGGATTAGTTTTAATATAAATACAAAATGCTTTACTGTAAAACTGGAGTTTTTAATAGACATTTTTTATGCCATCGCGACAGGAATCACCATGAATTTCGTACAAAAATTTGGAAAAAATTGTTCTTTTTCTCATTTTTTTTTGCCATTGCAATGACAATAACAGAAACGCAGTATTGTAGATGCGTCAGGATATGAAGATCGGAAAGTGAAAGGAGTAAATCAAGCCAGCGATTACGTGTGCTTCAGGAATCTGGTTTTCTGGAGGAATAGAGGAGATTTTGCTGCTGATCTCCATCATATAACGGATCGATTCCATATGGATCTAGACATCGTCATCTATTCCGTTCATGTCACACTTCGCATTGATAATTAAGAATTGCGAATTGAAAATTTCATGTAATTACGTAAGGATGATTTTACTGAAGTATCTAAAAATATTTAGCTAGATACAGATGAAAATAATTTTGTTGGATAAAAATAATTATGTAGAATCTTCGAACTGGTTGTTAGAATGTCAAAATTTGTTATTATATTGATGTTTTATTATATTGATGTTTTATTATGATGATGGTCCAACAAAATGATTTTCTTTAATTAAATTTTTATATTTGTTAATTTTTAGATACTTCGGCAAAATTGTGCTTTTCATGCTTAGCCAATCAGACCACGGATTAAATAATTTTAAAAAATATTAGATTTTTTATGCTTCAGCAATAATAATGAAGACTACTAGGAATCGCATTGTAATTAAGTGCGCCAAATATTTAATAAAAAAAAAAATAAATTTTACATGTATTACAACTAATGTTTAGCGTTTGATTGTACAATAAAAAAATATTCTTTTATTATGTAATACATATACAATTTCTTTTTTAATTAAATATTTACAGCGCACTAATTATAGCACTGATTCTTAGTCTAACATTCACCTTTTCATTGCCATTGAAAACGGATTAAAATTAAAATTATCTAACTGATCGAATTCTTATATCTAATTTGCAATCCTCAATTTCTACTGCGTAGTGTGACACGGACTAACGATGACACATAATAATATTAATAATTAATTTTTGCGAGGACACAAGCAACATACACATCTCGGTGAAAGCACAGTTGATCGCAAAATCGCGATGTGTTTCAAAAGTTGCATAAAAGAAAAAGTTAATATAGATTTATAACAACAATAAAACGTTCTAAATAAATAATATTCTGCAATTTTCAAAGTGCTCGATTGACTCGCTTCGCGAATCGCTATATATCTTCGAGATAACTGATGGCCTCTTGAAATCGTACTTCGAGATCAACTCGCGTTTTTATTTTTTTTTTTGTTTTTAACAACAAAGGGAAGGGGCTTGTTAACGTTACTCGTTACGCGACTTTCACCGCATTCGTTCGAGGATCAAATGACAGTCAACGACCCGATTAGAGGCGATCGACCGTGTCCGTTCGTTTCGACAACGTCGATATTAATGGGATTCCTTTATGAGGAATTTAATCGTTTTTTCGAATGCAGTTGGCATCGTGAAATTGGACGAGCATCGGAATAAATCGGATAATTGGCGAATGATAACTCCTGATAACGTGATTATTCAGACTCGTATATGCGATTTCGAACTTCGTTCGATTTCGTAAAACATTATTTCATCAAAATAGTTATGTAGAATATGGAGATTATGAAGTTTGTCAAAGTAGGGCTTTAAACAGATATTATTTATGATCACCAATGGTGATTCAAAAGTGAATCGAGAAACGTTTGAAGCTCGTAATTGAATATAATTGATAATAGATTTTAATCGTGCTCTACTAACCTGCTCTTGACTTTTATTTGTCCGTTATTTCTTTATTTAATTTTTTAAATATTTGTTAATTGTGTAGGATATTTAAGTTGTGAGTTTGATAAAATGTTAATATTTTTTGCAATATTTGTTATGCTTGACCGTCTATAATTATTTTTGTTTTAAATTAAAGAATACTATTTGTTTTATTTGTGACTGCAGCGAATTGTATTCAGATCTATTTCTTTTTTCTAGAATATAAATCTATCGTAATTATATATTTATCATTTGTACTGTTAAGGCTCACAATTGGACGTGAAACGTACAATTTATGAAGCAATGTATTTTCAGTTGAATTTATTAATTGAATTTTTGTGTTAATTAATTGCGCCG